TGTACTAGTGTGTTGTGTGGTTTTGTTGTTGTTTTTACACGTTTCAGGAAAGTTTTGGGGATAAAAAGTGATTTTGTTGTACAAAAAGTGTATTGAGAATCTATCGTTTTTTCGACATACTTTTAGATATTGTAAAATAACATTGAAAATATGTAAATAATTTATAGTATATAATGAATATGTTTAATATTTTAACAAATAAGCAATATTTTAAAGCTACATCAACTTTTTCTTGTCTCTATTTGATAGCACTCTGTTTATCTGACATTTCATAAATGACAGTTTGGTTTTAAAATCCAAAAAGGAAATAATGTTGTTTTGAGAATTTTTATATGATAATTTGATGACATCTTTATTGAGTTTACATTGATTTAACAGAAAAACCCTCAGCTATCTTGAATGCCCCAGAAGTGATTGAAATAGGACCAAAATATGCCGAGTTGTCTTGGCAACCACCAGAATCAGATGGAGGCTCGCCTCTTACTGGCTACTTCCTCGAAAGGATGGACATCTCTGGATTCTCTTGGTTACCGGTCAACAAAGAACCCATCCAGGACACACACTATCGTGTGGAAAATCTTTACGAAGAACTACAATACCAGTTCCGTGTACGCGCAGCCAACAAGGAAGGTTTCGGGGAACCGTCTCCAGCTACCGATCCATTCTACTGCCGTGAATCGTTCAGTAAGTGTTCCATTCATTAGTGTATTGCATTTTGTTCTCTGTTTAACAGAGTATGTTTAATCCAGTCAACTAAGGACCTTAAATGATATAGCATGGTGCATAATATATCATAATTCTGTGGTCATATTTCAAATGGAAAAAAAAAATACTGAATAGAAATTATATTCCAAAATCTTTTCTTATGGGCTGACTGAGGATAAAACAGGCTTGTACTTACTTATATAAGAAGGAAAAGATAACATTTTTCCGTCTTTTTGCAGAACTTGAGGCTCCAAAATTTTCCAAGGAGATTGAGGATATCAGTGTTTTGGAAGGTCATAAGGCAAAGTTCAGCTGTGAAGTCACCGGTCTACCCAGACCAGAGGTCACTTGGTTCCGCAACTTCCGTGAGGTGTTCGGAGGTCGCAATTACGAGATCACAAGTGACGGCAATGTTCACATGATGGTTGTGAAGAATGTGGAGGAAGGTGAAACATCTTATATAGAATGTCATGCCAAAAACCGATGTGGATCAGCTACAACTCGAGCTAAACTTGATGTGTTGGGTATGATACTATTCTGCACTTCTATTGGTCTAATGCTTGCTTTCCATAAAGAAAATCACAGAGACATGAGAAAACATTGGTGATTACACATTGTTGTAATCAATAGTCAGAAAATATACTAAAATTGAAGTTCAATTATCTTTGAAAAATTGTATCAAGAAATTGTTTCAATATTGTTTACTGTAAAGTGAAAATAAAGGATTCTCGCATTATGTTTACCACATTGTAAGGAGCTCTACAGAATGCCTCTGGTATCCATTCAGGAATCTAGCCACAATCTGAGACATATAGTGTTGGTTCTTCAATATCATTTTTTTTTTTAATATTATTTACAATAAACATGGAGCTGATTATCTCATATTTTCTAGTCCCGGCCAAGATAATAGACCTACCCGATCGCTACTTGGATGGCCTAAGTATCTGTAAGGGCGATACAATCATGCTGCGTGTTCAGATCCGCGGCAAACCCAACCCTGAGGTCACCTGGTCAGTTAACAAGGAGACAATTGAGGCAGGACGTGGTACAGACATCACAACAACTCCACGACACACGTCACTCGTGATACAAGACTCGGACAGAAGTGACGCAGGGGTGTATACTGTCACAGTGAAAAACAAGCATGGCAGTGACACTGCCAATATACCAATCAGAATCATTGGTAAGTTTGTTATTACCTAGAATTTCACATAAATTTATCATTAGAACATCTTCAATTTGCCTTCTTGAAGCATATTTGATAAATGGCAATTTTTCTTAATTTGAATAAAAAAAAAAAAAAAAAAATAGATAGTACTTTCAAACCTACACATTTTTGTCAGTTTTGAAGATGTTTAAAATATGGCTAAAGAGGAAAAAAAAATTTATAAACAATTTTGTCATGGAATATTTAGGCTGATCAATGTCCTCCAATGACAGGATTATCACTGTTGTACAATTTTTTTACTTTTAAGATCGTCCACAACCACCAAGTGGTAAACCTACAGTGATATCCTTTAACAAGTACTCTGTAAAACTTGCCTGGAATGAACCAGCCGATGACGGTGGATCGCCAGTCACCGGATACATCATCGAAAAATGTGACCTTCAGACTGGTGTATGGCGCCGTGCGATGACATCAAAACACCCACAATGCACTGTGGAATGCTTGGAGGAACATAAGGAATATAAATTCCGTATTCTGGCAGAAAATTTCATTGGAATCAGTCTTCCTGGAGAAGAATCGGATGCCGTGGTAACGCGTGATCAAGCCCCAGAGTTGGATTACGATGACTTGTGTATGTGATTTTTTTTTGTTTTTAACTTGTGGAGAAAATTATATTTGTACCCGCATTCATTTATATTAGATATTCTTTTCCCTGAAAATTTTTTTCAAATGTTGCCGATGATATAATCATAAATTCAGAAATGATGAAAATGGACAAAACAAAGTTTTTTCTATCCTGTGGAAAGATCCAAATCTGTTTGTTTGATTATTTAATGTATTTATGCAAAAAAACCAAACAGCTGTGAAAGTTTTAAAAAATTTAGTCACATACTGGTAAATAAATTGAGTCACATATTTTTTTTGGCTTTAAGGTGGCTATCGCCGATCTCACCTAGACAAATAAATAGTAGAAAGCTTATATAAACTGAATATTTATTTTCGGAGGTAAATCATGAGGAAAGTTTTGATATATAATCAATTTTATTATAGACGATTCAAGCTTTAGAGGTACCAATGTCAATGTGGACAAAATGAAGGGCGATGTCCTCGGCAAATACATCATCTGTGAAGAACTGGGACGGTATGTGTCCCTAATGTACAAGATCTGTGAATTCTGATTGTTTCTGTTTAATACATAGTCTGCTTTGCTTCCTGTTTAACCTTCTTATCTGGATTTATCATAACAGCTCAATATCACACAGGAACTGGACAGATTTTATTTTTCATAAATGTGTAAATGATACCAGCAAGGGTGCTTATGACACCATTCTTAAAAATAATTTTCAGAACATGACACAGACAAAATCCTGTTTATGTACAATTTAAACCACTAAACCCTTAACTTAAATATTGAGCAATCTTCAAGTCATTCGAAACGAACACAAAAGTTTGTGTCATTACTTGTGAAATATCCAATTATATGATTAATAGTGCAGCTTTTCCTTTCTGTACAGAGGTGCATTTGGTGTGGTTCACCGTGCCATAGAGAGGGCCACTGATAAGAACTGGGCAGCCAAGTTTATTCGGTGCCGACCTCAGGAGAAGGAGCTTGTGCGACATGAAATCGAGATCATGAATCAACTGCATCATCCAAAACTGATGCAACTTCACGAAGCTTTCGACCAAACAGGCGAGATGGTCATGATCTTGGAGCTGTAAGTTTCTCTCTTACTATTAGTCTGTTCTTTCTCTTTTGGAATATTTTTATTCTCAGTGAACAATGGTTTTGTCTATTTCTTCCTCTAAAAAAAAATTTTGGAAAAAAGGAATACTGCATTTTGGAAAATCAGTAAGTAAAATATATATTATTTATCTGATTAAGCAAGGAAGATCTGTTGGTTCCATGTTGAAATTTTCACCTATTTTCATAATATATCTGTCAAGTAATGGCTTCTTCTGTGGAGTTATAACTAATTGATAATTATTTCTATTCATTGAAATTTTGTGTATGAATCTCAGAACTCCTTTTATCTCTTTAGGTTGTCTGGTGGAGAACTGTTTGATCGCCTTGTTGCCCAGGACTATGAGTTTACAGAAGAGGACTGCATTGTCTACATGAGACAGATCTGCCAGGGAGTTAGACACATGCACCAACAGAACATCATACATCTTGACCTCAAGGTCAGTCAAATATCATGCACCTGTCAGCAGAGTTTGGCAACACAAACTTTGTTAAAAACTTTACAGAACCATTATCTCACATAATATCTGTAAAAATAGTGATTTTCATATAAAAATCATAAAAATTTGTGTTTTGTTGTTTCAGCCTGAGAATGTTATGTGTGTTACCAAGGATACACGTGATATCAAACTTATTGACTTTGGACTCGCCCAGAAATTGGAAGAGGGCAAATCTGTCAAGGTTTTGTTTGGCACAGCCGAGTTTTGTGCTCCTGAAATCATCAGCTTTGAACCAGTGTCATTCTGTAGTGACATGTGGTCAATTGGAGTTGTCTCCTATGTCCTGTAAGTACTTATGTAACAAGGTATCCTATTGGTTCATTTATTGTAATAGGTTCATAAGAAATCATTTGATTGGCTGAATTGGCATAAATATGATAGTGTTAATGAAATTTGTTACATGGATTTAGATTTCACAGTTAAAGCTGGTGAAATAAGAAGAAATTGAATTCAAATGTCTCCATCATTGGCAGGCTGAGTGGATATTCCCCTTTTGCTGGAGACAATGACCAGGAAACATTCACTAATATAAACCACTCAGATTATGATTTCACTGATGATGTATGGGACAACATCTCTGATGATGCTCGTGACTTCATCAACAAACTGCTTATCAGAGACCGAAGGTAGAGTCAGACAACCACTTCTAACTTTGATAGATAATTTATTAGGACATCTTTAGAAATCTTGATGTTAGCGGAAACATGACATTGTTAAAAACCATTGTGAAAAGTATAATTGAATCAAAGAATTTTATCTTATACAAAATGATGATCATCAATTTTTATCAGTTTTATCAAATTAGAAAGAAGAGATCAATATTGAAAACTACATTTTCAAACTACTTGTATATTAAATCTTTTCTCTTTTTTTTTATAGCAAAAGAATGACAATTGATGAAGCCTTTGCTCATCCCTGGCTAAATGTAAGTATACAGGACTATCACCATACATAATGTCAGAGACATATATAACATATCTATGTCTCTGATAATGTTTATGGTTTAGGATGTCATAGGGACAGGTCTTTCATTGGCATGATTACTTATATTGTAAACAGAAATTTCATTCTTCATCATCATCATTCATGCATGAAATTACGTACCACATATTTTTGCTTGTTACTTTTGTTTTATCTGAATTTTCCCTTCCAAAACATCAAACAAAAGAACCTGTCCTGTTTCCCTTCCAGTATTTACTCTGACTTTCCCGACTTGAATTGTTCTGAACAAACGCTTTTACTGATTTCCAAAACTTTGGGAAACATTTAATGATGTATTATATTTTTGTCCTTATAATGGCTTGTATGACTTTTGGTTTCCAGTTTCATCATATCACTGTATGTGTTTAAATCAGTTTGATAAACATTCTATCATTGTATGTGTTAGTAATTAAAGTTGATAAACATTCTATCCTTGTATGTGTTAATGATAAATTAAAGTTGATAAACATTCTATCCTTGTGTGTGTTAGTAATAAATTAAAGTTGATAAACATTCTGTCCTTGTATGTGTTAATGGTAAATTAAAGTTGATAAACATTCTATCCTTGTATGTGTAGTGATAAATTAAAGTTTGATAAACATTCTATCTTGTATGTGTTAGAAATAAATCTAAGTTGATAAACATTCTATCCTTGTATGTGTAGTGATAAATTAAAGTTGATAAACATTCTATCCTTGTATGTATAGTGATAAATTAAAGTTGATAAACATTCTATCCTTGTATGTGTAGTGATAAATTAATGTTTGATAAACATTCTATCCTTGTATGTGTAGTGATAAATCTAAGTTGATAAACATTCTATCCTTGTATGTGTAGTGATAAATTAATGTTTGATAAACATTCTATCCTTGTATGTGTAGTGATAAATCTAAGTTGATAAACATTCTATCCTTGTATGTGTAGTGATAAATTAATGTTTGATAAACATTCTATCCTTGTCTATGTATTAGTAATAAATGATAAACATTTTGCCTGTTTGAAATCTAATGTACATCTAATTATCATATTTTAAGCTGGACCTGATATAATGCACTCATAAATAATAATTTTACCTGTAACTTCATCTATAACATAGTGATTCATGCCTTTACTGTTGTCGTTAACAAAACCATGCTAGGTTCATAAATTAATGTCTAATGCATTTGCTATAAAGTAAAGAATGTCTTCACTACTGACTGTACCAGGAGAACTGATCATTAATGAACAGAAACATTATAATAAAACTCATCAGTATCATTGTCTTTCATACAGAATGATAATTTAAACTTGCACCCGTCTTGACTTTTGTCCATGTTTTGTGGTAGTAGTCTCCTAGGCAATGACTTCCTGTAGTTGAATGTCAGTATATAGTGTCTCTGTCTTTGCTTCTGATATGAGCCACACTATATTCTATTCTGTTGTCATGGCGATTGTTAATGCTTTGGTTTCCCGCGGCTTTTGCTTTTTAGCCGAGGTCCGAGGACTCGTCATCACCTAAGCCATTAGTCAAAGCTGTAAGTATGTGCTGTGTTTGTTTGTAAACCTTGTTCTCCTCTGAACGAAGATGGAACAATTGACCTCGATCTTTGACCTTCAACATTGATATTGACATCAGCATTTAAATTGATGATTAAATTTCTCAGTTTAATTTTTTTTAAATTTCAATGTTACAGTTAAGTGAAGTTACGGAATATAAAGCTAATTAAATCTTAATGGTTTACTGAAAGGTTGATCAGGAATTTTTTTTTTCATTGTATAATCTTACATAGAAAAGACATCCATGACCTCTGATGACCTCTTTGACGTAGATATCTGCTGTTGATTATTTACATATATATTATGCTAATCCTCAACCTGTGTGATTGTTTGTCTGCAATAACTCTCCAGACCTTTCTACATACCCATTCAGGTTGAACTTTGACCTTTGTCTCATCTTTATTCAATTTGCATATCATCCCAAATCATTAGATTCATCGTAAACATGATCAGTGAGTGATGCAATAACTTTTTTATTTTTATTTTTTCATAATTTTGAACACACATGTATTGAGCTCAGGTTTTTTTTTTTATCTCAAACATATGAACGATATTACATGATATGTTATAAAGATTAGTTATGTTCACCATGAATTACAGTATTTTTGTAATATAGTTTACATATTGGCAAGTTTATGGGCCATTAGAGAAAGTTTGGTAGAAATTAATCCGTCTTTGAATTATTTAATTTGATGTAATGAAGAATTATAATTGAAGATAGGAAACATTTTAATGTAAGATGTGAAAGGATGTTGACAAATACCAGAATTTCTGGAGACAATCCTGAATCACTGTTTCAAAAATATTATGAAGATTTGTTTCATTTCCAATGGAATTTTGTCTTGCTTACAGAAGAGTTATGTCCCTTGTACTATAAAGGTATTCCCTTGTAAGTAGGGTTATTGAACCCTCTGAGTTCCATCTGAATTTGAACAACAGAGCTGTGTCCCCCTTTGTGACAAATTTGTTTCTTGTAATAATGGGTTATGTCCCATGTGCTGTAGTGTAATGCTACTTGTGCTTTGTTTTGAAAGATTTGATGAGGTGAATCCTTATAAACTGTGCGATTAATTTGAAAGTGGTCATCTGTATGCCTGTATTTGGTATCCATAGGGAGCAACAGAGAAGAAACTGACTGGCACCAAACTGTCCACTCAACATCACAAGGATTATCAACAGAGAAAGCGCCATCGTGAGGACGAACTTGATATCCTTCCAATTGGTCGCATATCTCGTGACAGTGCCATCTTCAGGCGGGAAGGAGAACAAGGCGTAATCGCTAAGAACATCATCATGGGTAAGTAAATAGACTTAATTGGCTTCAATTTTTTTAATGTTTATAATATTTTCATTTGAATTATTAACATGAAACAAAAAAAAGATAAAAATATTGTTTTAAAGAATTTGAAGTTAATGTATCAACAGCTTTTCTTATGTATTATTTTCATTGGCAACTGGGCTGGAAATTTCTTTCAGGTGAAATTGATTTTACAAATATGATGAATACTTTTCATGTTTTTATGGCCTGTTCATATTTACAAAACAATTACCTTACTACGTATACAATTCACAGAATTACCTCCCCATGCCCCTGTGTTCTGCGAGCCTCTCACTGATGTGTCTGGATTTGAAGGTTCCAGAATAGAAATGACTTGCAAGATTAGTGCTAAACCAGCTCCTAGAATCAAATGGTGAGTTTGTCCTTTTCGGTATCATAATATATAGTGCTTTAGTCAAACATAATATGTCTGTTACATTGATACTAATCAACACATTTCCTGTAAGCACTTCAAAGAAAACTTTTTTTCAAAAATGATGTCCATGAAAACTTCATGAAAATAAGAATTTTAACATTAATGAGCATCATTTGAGCGACTTATTTCAACACAAAGATACATATCGTAATACATTGAAGTTGTAGATCTTGGCTAGTTGTTCATTATCTGGTAAATGTAAAACAGACATATCATACAAATTAAATTTTCGGGTCTGTTCATTGTCTGAATTGTCTAATGAGGTGAGTCTGTACTGACATAAACTGCCCAACCATCAACCTTCCTTCCCTAAATTACTGAAATCATACGGTCTGTTTTATCATTTGGACCAGTCCATTTTATTCTAAATGGTTCAGACTCTGGATATTTATGGACTTCAGTTTAAAGGCTAAATTAGTCCAAAGTCTTACAGTGTTACATATGTGGAGGGTATTTTTTCAACAAGATCTTGAATTTGAAATTTCTAATAACACGTACAGTTTACTTCTATAGGTATTAAGCAAGCTTCATCTGTACAAGTGGGATATTTTAAAATGAGTTGATACACATGATTTGTTAAGATCAGAAAAAAAAATCAGAAAAAAAAACAAACAGTAGCTCATAACCATTTACAAAGATATGTAGTATGTAGGAAGTAAATAAAACATCAGTCAATTTTCTGTGACCTTCAAATGATATTGTTCTGTTTAGATTATTTAAAGTTATCTAGATAACAACTTTAATTCTCATATCAAGCTTATTATCACTTTGAATGAATTAATAATTTTCGGTCAATATTGATTATGTGTCCATACTGAATATCTCTCTCTTCTCTTTCCCTCCCTCCTCCCTCTCTCACTCCTTGTTCTTCTCATTCCCTCCCTCCTCCCTCTCTCACTCCTTGTTCTTCTCTTTCCCTCCCTCCTCCCTCTCTCACTCCTTGTTCTTCTCTTTCCCTCCCTTCTCCCTCTCTCACTCCTTGTTCTTCTCTTTCCCTCCCTTCTCCCTCTCTCACTCCTTGTTCTTCTCTTTCCCTCCCTCCTCCCTACCTCACTCCTTGTTCTTCTCATTCCCTCCCTCCTCCCTCTCTCACTCCTTGTTCTTCTCTTTCCCTTCCCTCCTCGCTCTCTCTCTCACTCCTTGTTCTTCTCTTTCCCTCCCTTCTCCCTCTCTCACTCCTTGTTCTTCTCTTTCCCTTCCCTCCTCGCTCTCTCTCTCACTCCTTGTTCTTCTCTTTCCCTTTCCCTCCTCGCTCTCTCTCTCACTCCTTGTTCTTCTCTTTCCCTCCCTTCTCCCTCTCTCACTCCTTGTTCTTCTCTTTCCCTCCCTTCTCCCTCTCTCACTCCTTGTTCTTCTCTTTCCCTCCCTCCTCCCTACCTCACTCCTTGTTCTTCTCTTTCCCTCCCTTCTCCCTCTCTCACTCCTTGTTCTTCTCTTTCTCTCCCTCCTCCCTACCTCACTCCTTGTTCTTTTCTTTCCCTCCCTTCTCCCTCTCTCACTCCTTGTTCTTCTCTTTCCCTTCCCTCCTCGCTCTCTCTCTCATGCCTTGTTCTTCTCTTTCCCTCCCTCCTCCCTACCTCACTCCCTGTTCTTCTCACACTCCCCTTCTGTCTGGTATTAATGCAGTGGTTAAATTAAATCAGTTAAAGACACCTTGCACAGAAGTTGGATTCTTTTCAATCAGAGTCTAAGTCAGAAACTAATATACTGTTTCTAGAATATCCCTAAGGTACCCCAAACGTCTGAAATATACCAGGAATTGTTTATGATTGGCACCAAAACATGTGCATAAACAATTGAAGGGGGATTGATTGCAGATTTGCAATAGGGCCCTTGACGGGGTGAATATGTTTCTTTGATCCTTTTACAAAGCAACACAGCCACATGCATATAGATGGTATTAGTGATACTAGGAGCTTTAAAGGGCCACTCATTCTATCCGTAGGAGGGTTGGACACTATTTTCAATGTACTGGAGTCAAATTTCCCCCTTGTTGTACCCCAATACATACACATGTTATTTGTTAGGAACACTTACTTGTCTTAATTTCTTTTTTAGTCTCTATTCTCTTGCAATTTCTCGATATATATAGCTCCTCATTCACTTCTCTTGTAGTCTCAATTTTAAAAAGCTATTCTTTTACAGCGAGGAAGGGAAAAAAGAAGAATTTATGATCTATCGTTTCTGATGATATTGTGTAGACTAGCATTTGTATTGGAAAAGATTATGTAATGTGATCGACTGGAGATATGACAGACAGCAGATATTTTCAGAACTTTTAGAGATTATCGAGATTGGGAGCCATTATAGTTGGCATAAGATGTATCAAAGATAGCTGGGTTACTTGGAAATTAAGACTGGTATTTGGCAGAGAGGCTTGGTTTTGTTTGTTCAAGTATTCAGCTCTATGTCTATCAAAGATTGCACAAGGAAAGGTTTTATGTATCTTGAAAATTGATGGAAAATGATATATGTTGTTTGAACCGGGATCGTTTACCAGATATAAAAGTTTGCTTGCCTCTCAGTTGGAATAGTTGTGGCTGATTTAAAAAAAAATAAAAAAAATAAAAGTGTTTTATACAATTTATGGATGGAGTGTACTTGTATCTGTTAAGTGGAAGCTGATGGAGGACGACCAGAGTTTCTTACTGTCTGATTGGATGTTGAATGGTGTTGAGGTGGTTCGGAGGAATTTTACCATCATTTATAAGTTAGAGTCTATGATTCAGGTATGCCAGCTTGTGTGTTAGGTGTAGGACAATGATTGGTAGTTACTTCAAATGGATATCCTAATTTCAGGACTGTTCAAATCATAGCCTCGTGTACATGTGAAATACATTGATTTGATGTCCTATGGTGTAAATATTTGAAAATCTGAATGGTGTCTATTGTCTGGGATTACCGAATGAGAATGGAGTCAATTTATTCCTGAAGTACATGTTGAAATACTTAATACATTCCAAACAATGTGATTATAATAGGTTCAGGTTAAAAACCTTTTCAGCATTCCAGAATTTGAAGTTCCTATGTAAATGTGAATAATTGAAGACAATTGTAGATGTTGATGGTGATATGGAATACTTCCAAGTATGTGTGCTTCTAGTGCTTAAAGAGTTTCTGCATCATTAAACTTTGAAGAAAAAAACTCCTGTGGTGTATTAAAGCATAAAAAACAAATCTATTGTCATGGAAACCAGATTAAAGTTTCTTCAACAAAAATTGACTGTATCTCTAGGTATGGTACTGAAGATTACAGTGTTTATATTTGGCTATAGAAGCAAATTCTGCTCTCATCCAATTCAAACATTTTTGTGATTAGGATTAAAGTTTTGATTGGTTAATATGGCAACTTGTAGCCATCTTGAATTCTGGGAGGAGGAAATGGATGGAATGACTGCAGACAATCAACAGAACGGAAAGGAACATTTTATCCAACATAATTTTCAAAATTCAGGAAATGTCATAAATGATATGACCTTTGATGTTTCACACCCTGACAGGTTCAAAGACGGGGAAGAACTACAGGAAGGAAAGAAATATCACATGACCTACAGTGACTACTATGCGTCCCTCTTCATCAGTGACCTTGACCTTGAGGACGCTGGGAAGTACAGATGTAAGGCTTTCAATGACCTTGGTGAAGACACAACAACAGGCAAACTTACCGTAGAGGAAATCCTTCACCGCAGGAAGAGAAAGGAAGAGTTGGAGTCCCTTAGGGTCAAGTAAGTGCTCAAGTCTGTCACAATATAAGCATGTCATCAAGACTCAATCATGGTCAAGTAAGGTCATAACTTTGTCACATTATAAGCATGTCATCTAGACTCAATCATGGTCAAGTAAAGGCTTAGGTCTGCCACAATATAAGCATGTCATCTAGATTCAATCATGGTTAAATAAGGTCTTAACTTTGTCACACGTTATAAGCATGTCATCTAGATTCAATCATGGACAAGTAAGGTCTTAACTTTGTCACAATATAAGCATGTCATCTAGATTCAATCATGGTCAAGTAAGGGCTTAGGTCTGTCACAATATAAGCATGTCATCTAGATTCAATCATGGTCAAGTAAGGGCTTAGGTCTGTCACAATATAAGCATGTCATCTAGATTCAATCATGGTCAAGTAAAGGCTTAGGTCTGTCACAATATAAGCATGTCATCTAGATTCAATCATGGTTAAATAAGGTCTTAACTTTGTCACACGTTATAAGCATGTCATCTAGATTCAATCATGGTCAAGTAAGGTCTTAACTTTGTCACAATATAAGCATGTCATCTAGATTCAATCATGGTCAAGTAAGGGCTTAGGTCTGTCACAATATAAGCATGTCATCTAGATTCAATCATGGTCAAGTAAGGGCTTAGGTCTGTCACAATATAAGCATGTCATCTAGATTCAATCATGGTCAAGTAAAGGCTTAGGTCTGTCACAATATAAGTATGTCATCGAGACTTAATCATGGTCAAGTAAGGGCTTAGGTCTGTCACAATATAAGTATGTCATGTAGACTAAATCATGGTCAAGTAAAGGCTTAGGTCTGTCACAATACAAGCATGTCATCTAGACTCAATCATGGTCAAGTAAGGGCTTAGGTCTGTCACAATATAAGTATGTCATCTAGACTCAATCATGGTCAAGTAAGGGCTTAGGTCTGTCACAATATAAGTATGTCATCTAGACTCAATCATGGTCAAGTAAAGGCTTAGGTCTGTCACAATACAAGTATGTCTGCAAGATTGAATTGATATTTTAGATTTGGATTAAGTTCATATTTTGTCAGCTCTGTAATATAATCTGTGTTGTGTTTTATTTCAGGTACCCCAAACATGATTACGATCTGAGTTTGATCGACTCCAACATCCCACCATCCTTCACCCTTCCACTCATCGACCAAGTGAAGCATGTTGGCGAGAACTGTGAATTTACAGTCACAGGTCAGTAAATTACAAAAATTTTAATTAACCAAGGCATAATATCATAACAATATCTTAATGGACTTATATTTGTCTAAGTGAAGAACTAGGGCCTGTTAATAACAGAAAATGGATTTTAAGTTTATAGCATATATTTGTATTGAATCATTTTCTGTTATGCATGGCTACCTTTCCTTTTCTAAATGTGTTGATCAATTAATTTACAAAATTTAAAGATGATAGCAACATTTATTGACCTATCCATTCAAACTTTTTCTATTTATAACATCACATTGTTACCATAGTGACATGCCGACCTGAGCCTGAGGTCACCTGGTTCCATAACAACGAAGAGGTCCATGAATCAGAGGCATTCGAGTTTGTCCACAGTAAGGGTGTATACCGCCTTATCATCCATGGCGTTGAAACTCTGGACGCTGGTCAGTGGCGCTGTGAAGCAGTCAATAAGTATGGACACAGCTGGTGTTCATGTGACCTCAAGGTCATAGGTGGGTGACCTTCTTTTTTTTCTATAATTAATATTTGATTAGTATCACAGAGAATTTTCATCATTAGCACATTGTTATATGGAATTACCTGATTAAACAAATGATTTCTTTGTAGTGGTGAGTAGGATTAAAAACTGCAACAGTTTGTCATTTAAATTAAACTCATTGAAACTTGTCGTTTCTTCTGATGGTTCTCATTGGCCTTAGACTCTTTCCTTTATCACCAATCTGATTGAATTTTAGACAAGATGCCAGAAGGTGGTGAGCCACCAGTCTTCATCAGAAAGTTACAAGACACTACAATTGTAGAGGGCAGCTCTGTTCGGCTTGAGTGTAAGGTCAAAGGTCAACCTCATCCAGAAATAGAATGGTAAGTGCATTTTATGTCATGAGCATTGCTTAGCTTGTATTTAAACTTATGATCATGAGACTGTGCAGTATACCAAATTCAGGGCCTGGAACTCCTTAATCACAGAATTATTGCCCTTTGTTAAACTTTTGTGTCTAATAAAGTGGTTCCCAGGGAGCACTCATCAGTTTCACTGATATAATTGTTTTTTTTTTCAGATTTATCTCCTTTTATTTAACAATAACTTCAGTATCTATTTATGGATTTTAGGTACAAAGATCGTAAACTGATCCGATCAGGTCGACATTATGCTATCAGTAAAGAGGGTAGCACTTGCATTCTAACCATCCATGAAGCCTTCCCAGAAGACACCGGAAAATACATGTGTCGTGCCGTGAATACCGTTAGTTCTACAACTACTGAGGCCCAGCTCCGAGTCCAAAGTAGGTCTAGGACTGCAATAGTTTAGCAACAGTATGGTTTAAGCAGTTGTGACAAATTACATTTAATTTAGATCAAAAAAAGAAAAAAAATAAGATTTATCCAATGTTAGTGCTAAACAAGGTTGGCACTGTTGATAATTCAGACAATTTAATTAGGACCCAATTCATGTTACAACTTGATAGTAACAAGTTTCAGAACATACATAATGTTATGCATATCGTAGAAATATGTATATATTATAATGAGCAGATGTTGAGTCCTTTTTCCTGTTTTAGGAGCAGAAGGCGAGGAGTCAGAATTCCTGTTTGAACATTACGTACCAGACGAAGCTAGACTTGTAGAAAGAACTGTTCACTTCAAAATAGAGACTGAGCCAAACTTTACTGCGACCTTGAAGGACAAATCAGTTACCGTGGGAACACATGTCAAAATGTTGTGTTCTCTCACCGGAATACCTGCCCCTCGGGTCATAATATATCATAATGATGTTGATGTTACCAGGGACGACCACTACATGATTACGGTAAGAATCCTGAGCTCTTGAACAAAAATTAAAAAAAAAAAAAAAAAAAAATCACCATACATGGATGATGTCATAAAATTTTAGAATCATTAGTATAGATATGCTCTGAAGGTGGGTTATCAGTTGTCTGTGTGTTACCTTCAACCTCATTCAAGGGCAAAATAGACAAACAGGAGCAGAAGAACAATTCTATGTATCATTTAGTAAAATTTAAAATTTCCCTCTCAAGAGAAAAACAAGAAACAAACAAACAAACAAATAAACAAAGCAAAATCAGATTATGACGTGCCTGTTTACTGGATGCTAATTCTAGATTCAATAAGAACTCACTTAAATGTATTGATGATTCTGTGGATATTTAGATAATAAATAGAACCGTTACTGTTACTAAATCATTGTGATACTTTTACACAAATAAAAAAAAATTGTTTTTACTTGCAAAAGAAAATTTTACATTTTATATTTCAGAACAATCACGGGTTGGTCGCTCTGGAGTTTTACTCAGTCAAGCTCAGTGATGCAGGGCGATATACATGTAAAGCCGTCAACAGTGAGGGAGAGGCCTCATGTCAGGCTCGGCTCCAGGTCCTGGGTAAGCAAGAGTGATCTCCCCTACTATTCTTGTGTACATGAATATATTTCTTTTACATAAATTTTTATTAAGGGGATATTTACATATAAGGTAAATTTATACCCTGATACTCTTAATTATCAGCCTTGCTTTAGATATTGAAATTTATGAAATCCATCTTGCAGATGTTGAGGAGGAAGTTCCAAGAAGTCCGGATTATGTCCGGCCAAGTTTCACGACCCCCATCCATGACTTGACTGTGACAGCCGGAGACGAGGCCAGTTTCTCCTGTGTGGCCATTGGCAAACCAATGCCTGGCTTCAAATGGTATGATAATCTGTTTCTCCCAGACATGAAAATATGTGTATCATAATCAGAAATTTTAATGGAAAAATATTTAAATCTATTCTCTGACATTTTTTTGTTTTCCTTCAATTACTAAACATGATGTTGGCATGAATTGAAGAACACTGAAGGTTTTACAGCCTTGATGAAGGCGAGTGTTACCACCATCTGACAACCTAAAATCATTACATGATTGATTGTCAATTTGTGAACAAATTCGAAAAAAAAAAATAAATAAATAAATATGTGAATATTATTCTGTAATATGTACTTTTGGCCTGTAGGCCTTAAATACTGAATAGAATAAACTTGAACTTGAGTTTGTGAACAGATCTGTATAAATTTTTTTTTTCAGCTTACACAATCATAACTATTGATTGTTTATTATCTATTTTGCAGGCAAAAGGATATGGTGGATATAGCGGACTCGCATCGTATCTTTATGGGTGCGGATAGTGATGGGGCGGCAGAGCTCATCATCAGATCGGCACGGGTTAGCGACTCCGGACTATACAGCTGTGTAGCCCAGAGCACCGCTGGACGTACCAAGTGTTCTGCCTACCTAAGAGTCCTCGGTAAGGGGAGATTACTCTCATCAAAATCCTTTGAAACTGTTGATTGTATTTCTTGTTCCCTGATTTTTTTTGATAAGATTGGAAAGCAAAGATGGTAGGATTTCCTCCCCCCCAGCATCATTACAGAAAAAATGAAAGTAATCTGTCTGGTGGAGCATAGCTTCATTGTGGAATTCTAACAATGATACATTCAATAATAAATGTAACATTCCCTTGATAATATTTTTTTAATCTGACTGATATATTATTTCAGCCAAGTCCAAATCCAGATCACCACCAGACTCCCCTGAAACTGCAGCTGCAAAGAAATTGGAACAGCGCTATGAGCGTGCACGTATAGAAATACCGGGTGGACGTGCCCCCAGATTTTCTGAACCCCTGCCAAAGGTAGTGGAATTAGACGAAGGGGATAAACTGCGTCTAGAGTGTGAAGTAGAAGGCTACCCCAAACCTAAAGGTGAATGTTTTCAGTGATAAAAATAACACTTCTCCTGGTTAAAAATGATCCCTCGCTCTCAAAAAGAGGTTTTTCTCCACAGTACAACAGATCTCTTTCCTCTCGAAAAGGGATTTCTCTACTTTTTAAAAGAGACCTTTCTCCTCTCTGATGTTTCTCTTCACTAAGTATTATCTTCCTCCCGCATGAAAGAGTTCTCTTCTCCATTCATTGTAATCATTGTATGATGCTGACTCGTGACACAAATACAGAAAGCTCCTGTTTCTTCAGTCCTCAATTTAAACTTTGTTGGATTTTATCATGAATAGATTTTTGCATTAATCTCACTATTATGGTATTTTAGCTGAAGTGACAGCGTTTTATTTTCTTCGATAATTAATTTGACTTATGTTAGAATTTGTAACACAGAATAGGAAGTGTACCAGCATTTAACTCTTTACCTATATATTACAGTGACTTGGTACAAGGCCACCAGAAACTTAACTTATGACTACAGACACAGGGTGAAGGTCGAACAGACCACACACGTACTCGAGGTCAATGACGTCACAGTCATCGACTCGGGAGAGTTCATCGCCAAGGCAGCCAATGATCTTGGTGAAGCAGAAACAAGATGTATTGTTCGTGTCAATAAACGAAGATCTGAAAAAGAAAGGTAGGTATATATCTGCTCCACTGATGAAAACGGTAATTAATTGCGTTCGGTACCAAACCGACAATTCGCAGCATGCAAAACAAGAACAAGAATTATACCATGAGAAGTGCTTCAACATGTAAACTTTGATTAAAATCATTGCCATCAAGGCTCTTAAGCTTTTAACTGTTACTACTAATTTCTGATGGCTTGTGATGATGTCCTAAATATAAACTAAATATATTTTACATGTATAATAGATAGATCATCTCAGTGTCATTGACAGATCCAAGAACATGTGTAAGTTGATATCCAACGACAAAAAACATGAAAAGCTATCTCTAAAATCTATACAACTTTCAATACTTCATCCCCTCCCTTAATCTTCCTACACTGTTCAGGAGACTTACTAATGTTCTTGTATTTTGTATTTTTAGGGAGGTAACTACAGAGGCAGCCCAGAGAGCAGCAGGTCAGTAAAACATATACACAATCTAGCAATATTGTGATATGGCAGAGTGTGAACTGAATTGAATTTCTGCCTATTTGTGTGGAGTGATCTCCCTTGTCTTGACAGTTTTTTGTTGTCATTTTGAAAGTTTTTTGCAAACCAAGGCTTTTAAGTTCTACAAAATCCTGCTAATACATTCCATTGATATTAATTGAAAACAGTCCTTATATGGTACAAAATGTTTGTTTACATCTTAATCAATCATTCAATTAACAATATTGATGTGTTGCTTTCATCAGGTTTTTTCTTATCCATTTCAACTTATGTAATAAACAATTTTAATTGTGCATTTTAAGGGACTGATACTTATTTGCAGTTCCCTTAATAATCCAATGAAGATTAAAATGTTCTTTTTTTTTAAATAATGTAATAATATCTTAATCCTTTAGGTTATATCAAGAATAATTTCAATAGCTTTGACTGAATTAACCTTAATTTGTTCGAGGCGTAAAAGTCGGTGTGTTTCCCCTTTACAGATGAGTTACAACAAGGCTATGGTATATATATATATTAATATTTAAATTAAATTCACAAAAGTTATGAATATTTAATATGTAGATATATTTTATGTTATAGACTCATGATAACATAGTGTATATATTAAACAAATTAACTCCTTAGTTAGAAGGTTATTAATTATAAAATCTAGTCTTAATGATACTGTTTATTAGTAACCATGGTTACTGGATATATTTCATTTAAATTTATAGTAAAACTTCATTTCACATACTAGTAGTATTAGTTTATGCATGGAAGGTAAATTTTGTTTAAAAGGATTTTTTGTAGTTTTTGCTCAATGAGTTGCTTTAATGCTTGCCAAATCTAGTCCTGGAATTCTAGAAGATGAATTAGACTTTGTATGTGTAAATGGAATGCTGATGCATTTATTTTCACTTTTCTTTATTTAAGCTGTTTAATTTCACAGTTCATGTCCTGAAAACTTTCAAACACAAAACTTCTTGTTACAATTTTCATGTTTGCAAATTCTTTTTCTCTGAACTGTGACCTTGAACATTCCAGCCATTGCATGTGTAAAGTAATTTAAATATTTTCACTGTGGAATGCCAAAGACGACTGGAGAGAATACTACTTATGTGTTCTCTTATCAGGCTGCATCTGCCTCAGCACTGGAATTTTACATTAAAATCAGCTGTAGGATTTGTTATAACAAGCCTGTTTATGTCTGAAGCTTCATCAATTCAACACTGAGGATAGGAAGATGTTACTTTTTGGTGTAAAGTTTTGTTAGCTTGATCAAACGTAACACAAAATATTTAATTGAGATTTTTGTCTTGAATTTCTGTTTATTTTTGGGACTCTGGTACCTGTACTTTGTAAAAAATAAAGTGTGGAATTCTTGGATTAATGAAAAAAAAATCTGGTACTAATTTTTATTCTTTGAATAAATGGTCACGGTTCAATAGCTCGAGATTTGAGATCTGTCAACCCTACATGGGTGGATTGAGCTTCACTTTTCAGTGATAGAGATTGTTCCATTACGGTCACGGTTCAATAGCTCGAGATTTGAGATCTGGGTGGATTGGTCTTCACTTTTCAGTGATAGAGATTGTACCATTATGGTTGGTGTGGGTGATACTCCTCTTTGATTGGAATGCAGCGACTTGTTTGAGCAGTAACTTCTCACTAAAATGCTTAACCTCACACCTGCATGCTCAAGAATTTCTCCTGAAGCATGTGGAATCTTGGATCACAAAAATGTTATGGTCTTATTTTTAGATAAACGTGTGTGTTACAGTGCTACCAATGTTAAAGTAAATATTTAAAAAAAAAAGTGAAAAAAATTCAAATTGAATTGCAAAGATCAGTACTTTTGAAGTTGAACATGATCCATATATCTCTTAGTGTACATTTCATTTAGTAAAAATCTGAAAGTATCAAGCATCTCCTTGCCAATATTAGAATAACATGATTTTCATTTGAAAGAAATTTTATTCTGAATTGTTGCTTATTCTAAACAGAATCTATATATACATATTTTTTTGTTTCATTCAAATTTTAATGTAAAAGAAGAGAGAGGTGTAAATAAGATTTTTTCCTCACAATAAAACATATGTATATATAAGACTGTGAAATCATCAGCTGTTGTTATTTTTGTTGAATTCTCGGGCACTCTTATTTCAGGAATTTATATGTTCTTTTGGAAATCCACACCATTTTAGCCCCATGTAAATACAGAACATCACCTATACAGTATGTTGTCATGGTATTGATAAAACACTAATTGGTGAGAGCGAATTCTGCATAGTTCCCTACACTTTGGCAATAAAATACTTCCGTGTTATTTGCAAGAAGCTGGCACGGAGGGACAACACCATGTATTCATGGCTTCCCAGTTATACTTCAGTATTATGTAGTAAAGTTAATTGGATAAATTTGTCAATTCAAAATTGAATTCTTCAGAAACCTTGGCAGAATGCCAATAGACTTAATTTAAAAATTGTAATGGTTGGAAAAATGAAAGGTTAAATATGTTAGCCTGCCAAATAATAATTGTATATTGGTACTGCTTTCAGAATTTTAATCTTTTTTATCAAAATCTATTTTAGGCAACTTTTATTGGAAATATCACTGTAACCATGCACAACATATCAACTGTTAACATGGACAAGTCCAATTTGATCAGTCATGTTCATATTCATAAATATTTCAAAAAATATATATCATATGTTATTTTTTCCTAGTAGTATCCAAATGCATTCCTCTATTCACTATATAACATAATGTAGTGGAGAAAATATTAATCCTTTTATCTTCCTAAGTGTTTCTTTCATTTGTTTGTACGGTTTTTTTTAACAACTGTTGATAGTAAACAATAATATTTGCTGTAGCTTTTGACTTCTATTATTTACCAATGATGTCCATTTGCTTCACATGAGAAAAGAACAAACAAAAAATTAAAAAATACAAATGAAAAATTGAAAATTTATATGAACATCTTGAATCTGATTCTAAATCATTATCACAACTTTGAGTGGGAAGGACAGATGCAAACACCTATATGTTTCTTTCTAAGTCTTTTAGGGTTTTCAGTCCGTAGGTTAATTGAGAAGGTTTCCCCTTCATGACTTCATAACCATAAATGTTCCGCTCCTTAAAATCTGCTGTTTTTGTTTCAGCTCCGTTCTTCATCAAACACCTTCCTCAATCCATTGATGTTATGGAGGGTATGGATGTCCAACTGGACTGCATTGTTGAAGGCGATGTTACAATGGTAAAGTACAAACGTGCAGAGGCCAAGGTTGTCACAGAACATTTCCAGTCTGGTGACTTTGAAGGAACCTATCATGAGGTTCCCATGGCGTCCATTCCTACAATGAGCATGCCTGGAGCTGAAGGAGGGGCTGGATCACGTCCAAGGCTCAACATTCCTGAACACGGTTCAAAACGTGCACCCAGGTTCATAGAGGAAATGGAAGATGGAGCCATTGTCACTGGTAGCATAGCAACCATGTCTGTTGTTATTGATGCTAATCCTGCTGCTGAAGTCACCTGGTACAAAGATGGCAAGAAAATCAGAAATACGGGTAAGTGTCTATGTTAGCAAGTGTGTTCTGACATTACGGTTTTGATTTATAAGTCTTCACCAGATAAGTGTGATGTTTTGAAAAAATATAGCTGATATCTCACCTGCCATGTGACTTAGCTCTTATTCTCAATTCCATGTCAGAAATTTCTTATATTTTTTCAGCAAAATTAATATATATAATTAGAAAAACCTGCAAAAGTACCAGGATTACTTCATATTGGTTGTATTCTTTAAGTCAAATTCAAAGTCACTGTGCCTCTTCAGTTAAATTAGTTCGATTTCCTAGTACTGTAGGTATCTAACATGAAACATGGAAAATAAACTGCTTACAAAAATGACAATGTTAAGTTCACCCAGAAAAGATTTCGAGTGAATGTATTACATTCAACAAGGGAGACAACTGTAACTATGAATGTGTTACATTCAACAGGGGAGATAACTTTAACTATACATACTTACAGATCACTATGAGACTTATCTAGAAGATGGAGCTCACAATCTCGAGATCTTCGATACACTCACCTCAGACACTGGCCTTTACCGATGTGTTGCCCGCAACGAGATGGGCTCCGCGGAATGCCAATGTAAACTTGACGTCAAAGGTAACCTTGGCAACCAGATTTCAATATCAGTTAGGCATCCAAATATATCTCTGTAGCAACGTATCTCATTTCTAATTTCTATTTTTTTTTCTTAACAAGAAAGCTTTCTTATTAATATCTTAAACAAGCAACATTTTCAATTTCTATTAGCAAATTAAAGATATATTCTTTAGAAATGTAATTATGTATTTAACATGTGATTAGATATGATTACACAAGGACATGGGATTAAGCAATATCTAAACCAAAATTGGAAGATTAGCAAAAACCCCACTTACTCTGACCTATATTCCTCAGATATCTCCAATTCATTAAATTGACTGTTTGGTCCCAACTCTGTTTTTATATAACCTCAGTTTCCTGGAAACACCATTCCTAAAATACCTAGCATTCCTGAAACTCATTTTTGTCCATGCCTCTTCATAATATTTCCCCCTCTATTTGTCAAACAGGTGTCATGTTAGCCGAAATTTACCGGTCCCTTATCAGTACGTTTTTCTACAGAATATATGCTGGTACTGTGTTTTACCGTTGTTAGACAAACGAAAGTTATAAGTCAATCAAAACTTTATAATAATCATACACTTGATTGGTCTAAGAATAATGTATTGAATACATCATTTACTGAAACTTAATAATAATCATACACAGATGATAAGTACCCATCAATTTATGACCTCTGATTAATCAAATACCCCATGTTCCTTGAACTATTGACAAAGTCCCAAGGATTTCAACTTATCAGAGTTTTACTGTATCAGATGAAAACTTCTGAGTTGAAACAAATAATCCCATGTTCATGTGACAGAACAGTACAGTCTAGCTTTAAACTATATGAATAGATTATACTTATATTTTGTAACTATGGGTAACCACATATTGTGTATGTTTACTAGAGGAAATAGTAATAGTGGTCTGATAACCTAGTTAATGAAGTAATTATATCTGTTATTACATTAATTGGCATGATGGTAAATATATAGATGATATATATATATATATATATATATAGATATATAAATAGAATGATGAAATCAACATACAAACATGGTGTGAGGTATACATACTTAGTTTCTTTATTGACTGACCGACTGTCACAAGCCTGGCTAGCTGAGGTCAATGGAGGTTGAAAGAGGTGTGTGTAAGGTAGTGGGAGGTTGAAAGAGGTGTGTGTAAGGTTGAAAGAGGTGTGCGTAAGGTAGTGGGAGGTTGAAAGAGGTGTGCGTAAGGTAGTGGGAGGTTGAAAGAGGTGTGCGTAAGGTAGTTGGAGGTTGAAAGAGGTGTGCGTAAGGTAGTGGGAGGTTGAAAGAGGTGTGCGTAAGGTAGTGGGAGGTTGAAAGAGGTGTGCTAAGGTAGTGGGAGGTTGATAGAGGTGTGCGTAAGGTAGTTGGAGGTTGAAAGAGGTGTGCGTAAGGTAGTGGGAGGTTGAAAGAGGTGTGCTAAGGTAGTGGGAGGTTGATAGAGGTGTGCGTAAGGTAGTGGGAGGTTGAAAGAGGTGAGCGTAAGGTAGTGGGAGGTTGAAAGAGGTGTGCGTAAGGTAGTGGGAGGTTGAAAGAGGTGTGCGTAAGGTAGTGGGAGGTTGAAAGAGGTGTGCATAAGGTAGTGGGAGGTTGAAAGAGGTGTGCGTAAGGTAGTGGGAGGTTGAAAGAGGTGTGCGTAAGGTAGTGGGAGGTTGAAAGAGGTGTGCGTAAGGTAGTGGGAGGTTGAAAGAGGTGTGCGTAAGGTAGTGGGAGGTTGAAAGAGGTGTGCGTAAGGTAGTGGGAGGTTGAAAGAGGTGTGCGTAAGGTAGTGGGAGGTTGAAAGAGGTGTGCGTAAGGTAGTGGGAGGTTGAAAGAGGTGTGCGTAAGGTAGTGGGAGGTTGAAAGAGGTGTGTGTAAGGTAGTAGGGATGGGGGCTATGCATGGTTAGTCAGGTTCTATTGTAGTAAGGGTTATATTTAGCATGTCTCTCTTTAAACTTCTACAGTGAGAGGTGACGCAGGTGAGGACTCCTTCAGCACGCCTTCCAATGGTATGCATGAATATTCATAACCCACACAAATATGATAACTGGTTTTGTTGTATATCATTCTTTTTGCTGTTCTTACTTCATACATAAAATTCAAGCATATCATTTAATTAAACATTGTGGTGGCTTGGTCATGAGCTTCTTTAAAAGCCACACATTCCGACTTTGAAGGGATTTGATGGAATTAATTTAGGAAAGGGTGTTAATTCACCGCAGTATCAATGTTGTAAAAATATAATTCCTGTAATATGGTTAGCATTGTACGTCTATCTGTTAGCTGTGGTAGATTACTTGCTGTTTCCACTCATTCTATCCTTATCAATATCAAACTTTACTATGCATGATTATCTAATCCCTAAACAAAATCAGATGCTTTAAACAATCGATAACGACTTCTCCGATCAAATTGGGCTGAAGTTTTGTCTCTACAAGTATTGTCTTCATGATACAGAATGACTAGGTATATTGTAAGCTTGAAAATTAAAATTGATGTTTTTAATATTGTAGATGAAGAATCAGGAGTGAAGGATGCTGGTCCAAGGTAAGCATAGCAAGTTACATAGAAGTTACATATAATATACCAAGTGATCAAAGTTTTGTGTTCAATTCTTATTCCTGAAATCTTTCTAAAAATGTCATCACTGTTAATTTTTGTCACAAATACAGCTGGAAAAATTGACAGTTTCTTTATCTGGAATGGGTTTTAGATTAAAGTCTGCATTTGTGAGGATCTGTGGTTATTATGAAGGTAGCATATGTATAATTCTTGTTTGATAATAAATCAGATAGTTTTCAAAAACAATATATTAAGTTTTGTAATTCTAATTTTTTTTCAAATTTCATATGAGCTGAAATAAGATTTTAGATGAAACATAAGCTTGATATTTTTTATCAAGTTTTGAATCATAATGTTTAAATCTTGAACAAAAAAGAATGCACTGATATATAAAAATGTCAATATTTTATTTTCTGGGTTATATATCTTATAAATTTTTTGTGTGTCACTCTGTAGGAAATTTCCCCCTCGATTTGTCGTTGAACTCGAGCCTGAGATGATAGTTGCCATCGGTGACAATGTCAAACTTGTTTGTATAATTGACGACGCCCTTGATAAGGTAGAATGGGAAAAGGATGGCAAAAAGGTAGGTTTTCATAGAAACTGTTATAATATTAACAACAAAAACGCAGATTTCAAATTGACATAGATGAAGTTTACATTGTTGTTTATCAGAATTCAACAGGAAATTACATTTAGGATGGAGATTGAGGGAAATGGTGATTTGCGGGTGGGGAAATACTTAAACATTATCAATCGTTGTTTTTCAGCATTTGAAAAAATAAAAAAAAGATTAAAAAAAATAATCAAGAATATTTTGAGAATATCTGTGTTCATATTTGTTCTTTTTAAAAAGTTGATTTGAAGGGAACATCTTTGATGTGTAAAATGCTTTAAAATGGGATTTTAAGGAATCACTGAAAACACAAACAATTTTGTTGTCAAATAAAACTATAATGACTGACCACGAGGAAAATTGAATCTACTAAAAGGTGTCTCCCTAATTTGTGTATGGTCAACTACAATATGATGCAATCCTTTACCTTTAGATGTTGGAGGATTCCAGAACCAAGATTGTGCAAGAACCTGATGGAACACAACAACTTGAGTTATTTAAAGCTGTGTCATCAGACGATGGCATTTACTCATGTGTTGCCATGACAACATCAGGGAACACTGTGACAACAAAAACCCAACTTAGTGTGACAGGTTTGTCTTCAAAAGCTTTATTAAACTGCTGTTTATTGTTTATTAAATTTTTATTTAAATAAATATTTATAACTAATGAACACAATAAAAATTTGTTTGTTATTAACTTAATTACTTGGTAGATATATACAATTGTTTAATCTTATTATGTACCTATTATAAAATATCTCTTATTTAACTTTCAGAAGAGAAGAATCAGCCTTTGACTGTTGAGTAAGTTGAAAAAGTTTTTTAAAGTGTTTGATTATACAGGTTCATATTTGAGATGTTGAATACATTTAAATGTTGACAGATTAGAGAGGTCACATGGGTCAGATTAGAGAGGTCACGTGGGTCAGATTAGAGAGGTCACATGGGTCAGATTAGAGAGGTCACATTGGTCAGAATATAGAGGTCACATGGGTCAGATTAGAGAGGTCACATAGGTCAGATTTGAGAGGTCACATGTATATAACTAGAGAGGTCATATGGGCCAAAATAGAGAGGTCACTTGTGTCTAATTAAAAGGGACTACATAGGTCAGATTAGAGAGGTTTCATGGGTCAGATTAGAGAGGTCACATGGGTCAGATTAGAGAGGTCACATGGGTCAGATTAGAGAGGTCACATGGGTCAGATTGGAGAGGTCACATGGGTCAGATTTGAGAGCAGGTGGGTCAGATTAGAGAGGTCACATGGGTCAGATTTGAGAGGTCACATGTATATAACTAGATAGGTCATATGGGCCAAAATAGAGAGGTCACTTGTGTCTAATTAAAAGGGACTACATGAGTCAGATTAGAGAGGTTTCATGGGTCAGGCTAGAGAGGTCACATGGGTCAGATTAGAGAGGTCACATGGGTCAGATTAGAGAGGTCACATGGGTCAGATTAGAGAGGTTCATGTGTCACATTAGAGGGGTCACATATATTGGATTAGAGAGGTGACATATCAAAATAGAGAGGTCATATGGGTCAGATTAGAGAGGTGTTTTTATAGCTTGATGAAGAAAGATTTATTTGTGATTTGTAGCGAAGAGACCAAACCTAAGTTCACAAGTCAATTGAAGGATGTGTACTGTAAGGATGGGGAGGAAGTGACCTTGGAATGTGAGGTCACTGGACTGCCACGCCCACAAATGACCTGGCATAAGGACAAACATGAAATCCTGGACAGCCAGGTAAGAAAATGGTTTAGGACATATATATATATAGGAAAATCTGATGTTACTTAACATCTACCTGACTAAGAAAATCTTATTGTAAGTGAGTAATGATTGTCCTCTCCTGATAGCAGGCAATAACAATTCAGAATTATTGGTCCAAAGCAGTTAATTGTCAATATAAGATTTCTTTTCAGGGGTTACAAACACTATTTGATTAAAGAAGTTTACTTATAAAAATTGTGCATTATTTTGAATTTTAAAAAACCCTGTTAGCTCATATTTGCTTGTAAAATATTTAGTTTTTGTGTTTTTATTTTTCAAACAAAACAATCTATTATAAAAAAATTTTGTAATGCCAATATTCCTGTTTCAAATTTATAGGACTTCCAGATTAGTACTATTGGAAATAAGTGTCGACTAACCATCGCTGAAGTTTTCCCCGAAGATGAGGGCCGATATATCTGCAAGGCCATTAACTCACTAGGGGAGACAACTGCATCATGCCAACTCCTGGTGGAAGGTAGGCGCTGAAAGCTATAGCTCATCACATTGTGTAGCTTGCCTTCAAATCACCATAACATCAACATAAACATACCTTTGATGTCCATCTTGACCATAAAATGAGCATGTACATGTATGAAATTTCAATGTAGTTTCCAAATACAAAACCTGTCATGTCCATAAAATCAGGTAGAAACCTCGTGAAAACTGATGTCCATTAAGAATTTAAAACATTTTTACAAATTTCGAATGAAAGTTATGTCCATAATAATTGTTTGTAAAATGTAAAAATATATATATATATGATTGTCCATATAAGGAAAAGCAGATCATGCAGGATTCACTTTTTAAAAATGTAAATAAATTGTACAAAAGACAAATATATTTTCAATATTTATTTAAATACCAAGATATTTACCAGGTAGATAATTTGTTTGATTATAATAATTTATTTTTTTACATTAAGATTTCAACTGAAAGTTATATAAAATAGTTTAATGTAAATTCAGATAATAATTTAAATCCAGTCAGAAATACATAAAATTGTGCCATATTTAAAATGTTTATTTCTGATAATATGTGTCGATGTATATATATATCTAAATATATATTAATATGAAGTTATTTATTAGAATTGTTTATAGATATTTAATTTGAAATTGAAAATGTTTGTTTTAAAATTTTATTTATCTGTTAGTTTTCATATTTTATGCACAAGCATGTAAACTATTTTAATTGATGTAGAAATGATAACCGATATTTGTTATCATTAGTTAAATTTAAATTGAAAATGATGTTGATGATACGAGGACTTTTAGAAAAATTATTTAATCAAAGCAAAGTGTGCATTTTATAGATTTTATTACAATAATGATTATTTAGTTAAATTGTAGAGAGTTATAATTATGATGTAGTAGAAACACTATGATAATTTGTACTAAAATCTTACCATTGCTAAAAAGTCTTATCTCAAAAAACTTTTTTTCCATCTTCATTTTATCATACTTTGATATTAGCTTCTTTACTTATAAATGGGACAAAGTGCACCCAAGCTTTGTCACAATTTCTTCTAATGCTTCAGACCTTCTTAAAAATTCTTTCAAAAATACTTATTTCAATTTATTCTGTGTTAGGTATTTCTCTTCTCTTTGAAGGCTTCACCTAAAACTTGAGCCAAGCCTCTGTTCAATCTTGACTCTCAGTCATAGATACTTTTTTGTCTTTGTTTGTCTTTGTGGCAATCTGTCATCCTTTATTTGTTCATTTTCCTCCTCAGACACTCTTTCCTATGATTCTGCTTCAATGTCATCTTCAACTTATAGTCGTGGTAAGCTTGAGAAATCTCATTTTATTAGCACTTAGCGAGAGTATTCTCGTCTCATTAGCACTTAGCGAGAATATTCTTGTTTCAGTAGCACTTAACGAGAGTATTCTCATATCAGTAGCACTTAACGAGGAACATTGACAGAGTTGTCTCTTGTTTCCGATCTCACTTCGTTTTACATGAAATAAAACAGCAGACAATTTAGATCAATTTTATCTTATTTAACTTAAGGGAGACAACTGTGTCAGATCTGTTCACAAGACTCACAAAGCACGACCACAGAGTCCATGTACTGGCAACCATCAAAGAAAATATTACTCAGTGATATGTGAAAAGAATTTTGTTGTCATTTATTTTGTCAAAAGGATACATATGTACATATAACAACCATGAATTTCATAGATTATCTATACCTGATTTTTTTGTTTATTTTTTTTTTTTTTAATTTATTCATTTATTTATATTTTGTGGTTAAAAAGTATATTCCCTGAATAGATATACTTTAATGTCCATTACTGTTTGACGTGAAATGAAAACCTGATTGCCTTTATTTGTTGTAAAACCTAGCACTTTCATGATGAATAAGACGTTTTCTTTGTTGTCACATGATGGTAACAGTCCTATTAATCACCATCCATCTCAGGCAGTACATATCTGATGGTCGTCTCCACAAGGGATTTCTGTGCCAACCAAGGCCACACAAAGTCTTTTATCAACAGATCAGATGCATAGAGATACATCAAAACTGTTTCTTGATGATTAAAACCGTAGAAATACTTTCAATAGTTACTACTGTCATACAAATAAGTTAAAAGATGTTGTATTTGTGTATGAAATCACCATTTTCAGTTTCTTTTTTTTTTTTTTAGTTTTTTTCAAATATGTGAATTTTCCTTTAAAAATACATTTGTGTGGCCTTTTAGGGCTTATCTTAAAGTATACTTAAAATATATATATATATCTGTTAGAATAGATTAATGATTCATAGCATGATAAATGCCGGATGATTATTTTTTTATTATAAGTGATAACAAGAAACATCAGTTGTTAACAATAGTATTGTACTACTACTGACATTGCACCTGTGTTGTTTTTGTCTGAAGATGTTTGTTGTCACTATGTATAATTGTTGTTAGTAATTTTAATTATTATATTAATTTTTTATCACAAATTTTAATTCAAATGATCAGTTTGATGATATAGACATGGAAATATACTTCATTTTAATGCCTGTCAGTATAGAGGAAAATTTTGTGAAACTTTTCCTATATTGTCACCACTATAATAACATTGTTCCACATCTTGTTCACTACTCAGGTGCGTCATTTGTCCTATTTCTATAATATAACCCTTGATCAACTGTCCAGTCCATTTTTTAGTATAATATTTTGCTATAGATACATATATCCCTGATTTGTATATATATATATATATTTTTTAATTTTTATTCAATCCGTTTGGAAGTAAGCTCAAAGAAGAAAATATTGCATGTCCAGTTTATAATGGTTTTGTTGATAGAACGGTATAAAATTGTGTTTGATATTTATTTAATAATCATGAAAATTTCTGAGAACTGAAATATGAATCTAATTTGTCATATTGTTTGAAGTAGCCATCACTGATGCTCTGTCAATCACAAGTGTTTGATGAATCAAGTATGCATGTTGTATCACTTTTTAGTTTGAACAGAAACAGGAAATAAGCTGGAGATGTGCGTCGTATCATAATATATATATATCATTGAAAGGTGACATGTAGATTTCTACATCTGTCACACCTAGGAAACCACTTCACATACTGAATATAAATCGCATAGATAAGTGGTAGAAAGGTATATGATTCATACAGCTAATGTTTGAGATGGTTCTGCTGATGATAATATGCATGTTAATGCTGAAAAAAATAAAGTTATCAGGGTGTTTCCTAAACTCTCCTGTGGTGTTGGAATCACTGAGTAAACATTTTAATGACCTTGACATATCCTACGTTGATATAGGCATCTAAAACAAACATTCATGCGACCTTGAGTGAGGTGCTGAACATGTGGCTTGTGTACTAGTGTTAAGCAATCTTTATTTTATGCTCAATAAAAAAATTAAAACATCAGACAAGATACTAGAGTATTCTTTGTCATTTTATATCACTATGTACAGATACCACAAGTGAAAAACTGTCGAACTGAGTCATTTTTTTAAGTGACAGTTAGTCCCACAACGCTTAATCTGGTCCAAAAAACATTTTTATGACATGTATAAATTTCAGCACTGATTCTAAAACAATAGAATCAGTAAACAGTTTTAATTGTAATCTTTTAAGTTTACATTGAGGCCCATCAGGGGAATACCAAATACTTTGAAAAATATTTCCCTTCAAAATTTGCGATGTGTTCATTCTATGGGTAGCTTTTCCCTTCTTGCATATAATTATAATTTTTAAAAATAAAAGTTTAAAATGAATGTTTTGATTTCTTTTTTGTTTTTATTTGAGTTCCCTTTAAAATCCCCCAAAATGTCTCTAATAAACAAACTAATATTTCTGTGAGGACCCTTGTTCAGTATAATGTTGATGAATGGTGTAAACTCATAAGTAATGATTGGTCAGCACCTGCATTTAAACTCTAATTTAAACCTGGAGATTTATATGGCATGGAACAATTTCAGATCATAAATTGATTTAATAGCTGGATATTACCCATGTGTAATGGAATGGGGGGGACTTACCTGACTAGGAGATACAAAATAAAATTTGGTAATACTCTGAAAACTGAATTAGCTGTTAAGCATAAACTTAACTATTTACTGAAGTTGTTTTGCAGTGTAAAAACGCCACCACATAAATGTTTGAATATGAAACTGGATGGTCATGTCACATATTCTTAAATCATAAAAAAAAAATTATCACAACACATGATCGTTATGGTAGAAAATTATCATGTTTTTTTTTTCAAATAATTGAAATTAGGTATATATACTTGTTCAGCATGCTTTCAATGAGTATGTCAAATTTCAGGATCACCTGAATCATATCAGTTTTGAAGCTGATAAAAGCTACAGTTTCAAAATTTCTAGTATACTGGTTTGATAGTGTTCATCTATGTCAAGATGAATAACTTAATTTATTTACAGAGCCAATTATACTTTTGAGACTGAAATGTACAATATTTACAACTGTTTAATAAATCCATAACTTATATGATACACAACAAGTGGTGCTTATAAATGTGGAAATTTCAGTGATATCAAGAAAGCAGTTTCATATATAGCAGAAATAAGGAGGGATTTTAACAGATGGTCAGATAATAAAACTTCTACGCACATGATATTTGAGTATAGCACTAGAGTTTTGGGGATTTTTTTGAGTGTTTTAATTGGAGATGAATCATGTGTATTAGAAATACTGTCATACAAGAAGGTTTTAACTATAGAGGACGGAAGGATGTATTTGTCTAGTCAGATAAACCCTTAAGTTTGATGGGCGGGATGTAAGTATAGACAAGTGCCGTTTTGGGGTATAATTTTATTTTACTAGTCATCACATGTGATGTGTAATTCAAATGACATATTAATGTTTTCTCCTCCTCCTTCTCTCCTCCTTCTCCTCCTTCATTCTCTTCTCCTCCTCCTCCTTCTCTCCTCCTCCTCCCTCTCTCTTCTCCTCCTCCTCCTTCTCTCCTCCTCCTCCCTCTCTCCTCCTCCTCCTCCTTCTCTCCTCCTTCTCCTCCCTCATTCTCTTCTCCTCCTCCTTCTCTCCTCCTCCTCCTCCTTCTCTTCTCCTTCTCTTTCTATCCTCTACCTCCTCCTCCTCCTCTTCCTCTTCTTCTATCCTCTACCTCCTCCTCTCCTCCTTTTCCTCTTTCTCTTCTCCTCTGCCTCATCCTCCTCCTCCTTTTCCTCCCCCTCCTCCTCCTTCTATCCCCTACCTCCTCCTCTTCTCCTTTTCCTCATCCTCCTCCTTCTTTTCCTCCTCCTCCTTCTATCCTCTACCTCCTCCTCTCCTTCTTTTCCTCCTCCTCCTCCTTTTCTTCACCTTCTCCTCTGCCTTCTCCTCCTCCCCCTCCTTCTCCTTCTATCCTCTACCTCCTCCTCTCCTCCTCCTCTTCTCCTTCTCCTCTGCCTCCGTCTCCTCCCCCTCCTTCTCCTATCCTCTACCTCCTCCTCCTCCCCCTCCTTCTCCTTCTATCCTCTACCTCCTCCTCCTCCCCCTCCTTCTCCTTCTATCCTCTACCTTTTCCTCTTCCTCCTCCTCCTCTGACTTATTTTTCTTTATTTTTTGAACTATACTTTTTTTAACTTAATATTAGACTTTGTGCCTAGCTTCATTTCCATTGAAGCAGGAACAGAGACATACCTGAAAATATTTCACAAAGATCTACATCTTTTTAACATATCCCCCCCACTACTGACAAGTGCAATTTCCCCTCCCTGTCACCTGGGTTTATAAGATCTTGTACATATGCTAGGACTACCAAAGGAGATTTAGTGAATGTTTATTGAATGTCAGCTGACTTTTTCTGACAGTGGTGATTCATTAGTCTCACCTGTAGCTGTAGGTACTAGTACAATAACACCAGGTAGATGGCTAATTAGTACAGGTATGACAGGTATGCCTACAGGTATACTCCATTTGCTGATAGATATATGTACATACTCAAGCATATTTATGACCCGACTGAGCAGGTCACTGTTGAGCTGTGAATGTTTATCAGTGTACTGGTACAAGCATTCTCGTTACCCTGAACTGATACACAAAAATGTTGATGAGCGGGGATTGTTTCCCAGGCCTTTCCAATAACAGTGATATAATCATAGCCCAAAGTATTCGTAAATATGCTGCCAGCCTGAATGGTACAGAGGCTGGTGTTTTGGCAAGCTTTCAAGGGATGTTTCTGATGAACCAGGGACGCTAATCAGACATATGAGAATCACGGTCACAAGTTTCATTACAATTTTTTTTAGGTCCAGGGAGGGGCTGTAGAGTTATATTAGGAAAACATATTAGTGTGA